GAAGTTACTTTAATGTGGAATTGAATATGCTGGTGTTGCCAGAAAAGAATCTCTCGGGATTTTGAAGTTTTCTCAAGCAGAGCATTTGGACGTTTAGCTTAGGAGATAAAATGATGAATTCCCTATCTGATACAATTAAAATCCTTGGTAAATGATGGGTGAATAGAATAATATTTATCTATTGATATGTCCTACAACAAGTACTTATGGGCTTGTGGAGGGAGCCAGTTTCGCAAAGATATTCCCTTTAGTTAAAGAAAAGTTATGAAAATATTCTAGGCATTTTTGGCAGATGGGTAATATAGCAAATTCAGGTCTACTAAAACAACTAAACAAGTCTTTCATGTGCGCTAACTATGTGTATTTGTTGTAATTAGCTGTAACTAGAGTTAAAGAAAGAGGTCCTGAGTTCTAATCTTTGCAAATAAGGTCTTTTGGTTGTGTGCTATTCTGTTTCTAAGATTTTCTAGTTCTTTTTTTTTGTTGAGACCAAATAATTGTGAAAAAGAAAATGACTGGGGAAATGCTGTGGTAAGTGACTAAGTGGTACTCAAATATTTTCCTGTGGGTGCTGGTAAACTGACCTTTACCTGAAATTAGAGAACTAAGGGCTCTTGCTGGAGATGAAATACTAGTATCTTAACTGTATTTTGCTGACTCTTATTGTTGTCATCACTATTTTCCCCCAATCTGTTTTGTAACTTTGTTGTCTATCTTTATGAATTGGGTTGTAGATTTTTCATGTATGTGTCACTAATTTTACAGTGACTTTCCATTCATTCATTCTTTTTCTTTAAAAATAACTTATTTCCTGTGCTTCTTGCTGATTACAGTTGAGGTGTTATTTAAGTTCAATTAGGAGTTTTATTCACATTTTCTGCATTTTATCTTAGTTGAGCTGATCTGCCTTGTAAATTTTAGAATTCTATATTATAAGTTGCAGCTTCTGCTTCTTACAATTCTTGTTTGATCAAATGAAAGGTATTCATGCTTGATTTTTATTTCAAATGCTCGTAGCAAGCTCTCAGTCATAGTGTATCTCTTGACCAATGTATTTAATTAGTTTTTGAAACCACTATGCTAATATGATCACTAATTGCATCTGCTATAAGTACTTGTCGTGTTCCCTACTTCCCTTATCCTTTGCTTCCTTCATGCTCGATATCTTTTAGCCATCTTGCTTGAAGAGATTGACAAACATGCTGCTATGCAAGCAAATTAGGTTACACTCTTACCTCTTAAGAAGAATTACTTGCTTCCCACTATAGTTTGGATCTTGTTGCGATTGCTTTTTCCCCTTGCATTTTTTCCATCTCCATTTTTCATCCAATAATTTCTTTGTAAAGTTTGCAGGCTGTGTTTGTAAAGAACTCTGATTTAAACCTGATCTGGCCAATCCTTCTTCATCCCAATTTGAGACCTGCAAATGTAGTGCACACTTTTTACCTCAATTTAATGTTATTATATCAAAATATATGAATATTCACAGGTTTACCTATATCACCATTTAGAAGTATATATGCATGCATAACAGCATATCTAGCATGATAATAAACCTGAGATCACTGGTCTGTTTAAAGCGTGCCTGTCGCTATGTCTCACTCTACCACACCTTCCTCTAGATCCCAAAAAGAGTCTGTTTATAAGGTCTGAAGCATTTCTCGTAAGATGCTAACATTTTATTGAACGAAGAGGGCTACAGAATCTTAAATTTTAGATGCACCCTAAATTCTATGTAGACACTAATTAATAAGAGGATGCCATCAGGTGATTCAGTTGATGCTATTGCTATGAAACATGTAGACATGCATTCATGGATATCATGCTTGATAGACAAATTAATCAATTGATTATTAAGCTCTACTTGCTAACAAGATCATCTATGCTTGGTAAATGTTTCAAAGGGATGTAAAGCTTTTTGTTGTGTTGTATGTTCGGATTACCAATTTACTGCTTTGATATGCTCACCTTCTTGCCTTGTTTCTCAAAATCTTTTGACCTTTGGCAATTCTTTTCATGAATTAGGTTTGGCAAAGATAATGGTTTTGCTGCGAGGATAATGTTCTCTGGCACAGTTCAAGAAAGACGTATCACTTGAAGTGCTTGGAGTTATGGATTGATCCACTGAAGGTTTGGATTGGGAATGAAGCCATTTGGTCCGCGAAGTTTCATCAATATGTTTAATATTGAAATTTTTTCCTGTAAATCATTTAATCTAGTCTGGATCAATCATTTGTTGTACATCCAGAAGCTCGATAGTGATCCTTTCACTTTCCTGCTATATATGCATTGAGCTTGTTTTGTTTTTCAATCCAAACGCAAGCAACTCAGATAGTTAGAACCTTCTTAGCTGTCATACCCTCTTGGCAATGATCAATGCTATTTAATCTCACGTCTGTCGGATTGACTTCATACGAAATCAGATTGACTTCATATGAAATGCTTAACATTAAGTGTTTTTAGCAATAGCAGATTCTTCAACTGAATTGTAAACACTTATTGTCCATTAACCTGGATCATCGTTATGGGTGGGAGTCATTTACAACCATGCACATCAATGACCTCGAGAACATGAACATTCTAGATATCTGAAAAACAAGTGCATTACATTGCTGACTGTTCCTAAGGGAACCTAGAAACTAGAAAGCCTGCATTCGCGTGGTCGACCTTGAGGAAATCTCTTGAGATCTTGACAGTAGTTATAAACCATGTAATACTTGCGCACCCATCTGAGTAGTTTTTAGCCATTAGCGTTTAGAGTTTGGAGCTGCTTAGCATTGTTATTAGGAAGATTATTGGTAGGTATGACATTGAGTTGCTGAAGGAGGCAGTGAAAGGAGCACAAGACCAGTTAGTTTTGTCAAGCCCTCCTCTGGTTGCCCAGTCGTCTGCACTCCATAGGCTGGCATATGGCTTCATCGGTAGCCTGTTAGGGAAGGAACAGCTCTGGCTTCGTAGTTGTTGTACACTCTAATAGGAATGTTGTCCGCCAAGAAGCTGCTCACAGAGTTGAAAAAGAACAAAAACATATTTAATAACCAAGTAAATTACAGAGACAACTGCATCGTTTTGATTTGATCTGAATTATTTAAATCATTTAATTGTCTCTAAAATGTACAAAGGATTTGAGTTATTTTCCTCACATATCCTTGTTTTTCCCCCCTCATGCCGAACGATGGCATTTGACATTTTACAGAAATGATATTATAAATAATTATTTTGAAACTGAGGCACAAATGACACAAACAAATAATTACTACGTGACTGATGATAGAATTTTGAGAATTGTTTTGCAAAAAAATTGTGGGAGGCTTCCTACTCAGGCCATTTTAATTTGAGATATTGTCTGATTAACTTGATTTATTACGGATCAATGAACAAAGTCAATAATGAATATCCATACCATGCGTTGAGGGTAGGTTTAGACGAAAAGCATGTTTCACATATCTATTAATGTTCTTAGGATGAATGCATTTTCTGCATAATTTTTCTATTATAAGAAAAATATTTTTTAAAAAAAATTAAATGTTGGGTCAGGAGAGTTGTATGTCTATTGCTTCTTACACGATGTTTTGTGGGCTCCATACTACACAATAGGCGTAAAATTTCTTGGTGGGATCAAACCAAAGATAAAACTGTTGCTTTCTTGAACCTCTGCCCTGAGTATAAACATTTGTGTGGGGTAAAAAACTGTGTATGGTTGTCCGCTCACGTTTCCCGAAAACTCAAAATCTACCTCGTCATGGTTTGGCCCTTCTGAAGATAACTAAGCCAAAAAAAAAAAAATAATAAATAAAGAACAAGAAACAGCCTCAGTCAACAACACTGTAGAAATTCAAAAGACACTGTAAATACCAGATCACATACACTGAGACGAGGCGATTTGGCTTGCTCTTACATAGTATGCAGTACAGTGCCAGCTGAGTTGCCAGAGACAAGCTTAATCTTCATGTCAAATCTCCCAAACAGATATGCTCTCTTGGATTGGAATCCAGAGCCAGAAGCCTCGTCAAGAGAGAGTGTCAGAAGCTTCCCTTCTTTAAGTATCTTTGCACGTTGGTCGCCCCAAGTGATATTAGTATCATCGTAGAAATTACCTGCCTCAATAGCTGAACACAAACTCAAAGAGACACAGAACAGAAACACAGCTGAAACTCTCAAATATTATTGCCATATTCGCTTGAGTATCTTTCTCTTGAGCTAATGGCCTTTATATAGTCTTAATTTATAAAGTGCAAAGTTATTTGGCAGCTTCATAAGCTAAACTGCTAAGTACAGAAAGAAAATAGCTGGCATGGAGATACTTTGAGCGAATAGTTTCAACACCTTTGAGTATGTGATACACTGCGGCACAGACTCAATTAGAGGCAGAGTTATGTCATGTAGGTTTTATACAGCTGTCAGATAGAACTGATGGATTGAGAATTCTTCAAAGGGGACGCAGGATACAAGGTTACACTTGAGGTTGCACCTGATTTACTCTTACTTGTTTACTACTTAAGCAATCATCTCTTATTTCCATATCAGCATATTCTTCTCAAACAAGAAAAGAAAATGCTAATTCTGTATCATGATAGGTAATTCTGTGTCCTTCGGTATTTCTATTCAATCAAAGCCTCCTGGTTCTTGATTTTGAATGATCATGTTAATATAGAAATCTTAAAAACTCGTCTCTGTTTGTTTGAACATTTGGGAGACATTCCATATAATTTCAAAACTCATATGAAGTTTATTTCTACATTAGAAATACGAAAATATCTGTCTCACCATGCAGATATTACGTAACCAATCTAGAAACTGCTATTACGAGATTTGCACACAAGGGATCTTCATATTATACATTCCTCGGCCTCACCTTCAAAAGTCAAAGGGTGGAATAGTCTTACCAAGCAGGTCTACGTCTGGCCGGATAAGGTTGGAAAGTCTTGTTCCCAGAAACAGCCACGTGGAATATATAAAATCATTTATTTCTCTATCTCTCGAATTTTCTTGAATGACAATAAGAATAATTGGACGCAGATTTATTTAAACTATTCAGGAATACAATACAGTATACATAACACGATACATTTTATTTACATGTCGTGTGTGTGTGTGTGACAACATATAAGACCTGCATACTGAATTACACATGCAGGAATCTAATCCATACACTATCTCATACCACTTTTATTCAGTCCTAATCAACCTCCTTAAAAGCATATACAAGATGATAGATATACAGAGTCACACTTATGCTAATTAACAACAAATGATTATATAGTGCTGGTGAGATGTTCTTTTTTGGTCCTCATGTGCTCTAAGAATGACTTCCCTTGCTGCTTACTAGAGAAGAAATCATTCATATATTTCTCCATGCCAACCCTTTTGAAGAAAGGAGGGTTTTCTGGGCTTATCAGACTCATTGCAGGTCCAATTTCAGACTCAAGTTTGGCGAGGAAGAACAAAGCCATGGAGATCCTTTCTTTGTCTGAATTCACTGTTGCCCTGTGTTCCACACTTCTGTACACGCCATTGCTCATAATCTGCACAACCACGTAGGCGTTTTTAACTATAGCTAGCGTGCATATAAACTTTAACAAAAGAACTGAACGGTGATGATGATGAATGATGAGAAATTAACCTCTAGAATGTCTCCAACATTGACAACAAGGGCGTTAGAGAGGACGTTCACAGGAAGCCAAACGCCATTTTTCTTAACCTGAAGGCCACTCACTCCATTGACCTGGTTCAGGATAGTGATTCCTGTAGCATCTGAATGAGCACCAAACCCCATCACCTGCTCTGGTTTTGGGCACGGAGGATAGTATGTCATCCTCAATGATTGCATCCCATCCTCAAACAGCTCCCTCATCTCTCTCTCCTCCATTTTCAGAGCCTTTTCCAGCAGACCCAGAAGTGTCATTCCTAGATTCTGCACCTTTTGTATGTATAAATCCAAGACAGACCTGCACATATACAGTAATCAAAGTCACAGGCTAGTTTGGTATGCTGTTGTGGGACAGCATACTTCTATCGCTGACATTCATCTTTACTTCTTGATATATTCAAGATATCACGATTAAGATTGGGTGTGAATCAAACATGTGAATATTTGCACGATGAGAGAGAGAGAGAGAGAACCTGAGGGATGAAGGGAGCTCTGGGAAAAGATATGGTTTTCGTTTGTGGAGGGGGTTGATGGTCATATAGAACCTATCACACCAATCTTGTTTCTGATCTTGTGATCTAATTACAGTTCCATAGCCTTCAACATCACCTGGCCTTATCTTGTACTTCATCTTCTCTTGCAGTGGCAGCCTGAAAAATCCTTCAATCTCGTTTCTGATCTTCTCTAGGTCCTCCTCACTGATTCCATGGTTCACAACCTGCTCACATAAAACATCATGAAAGTAAGAAATAATCAAGAAGCACAAACTAAAAGAACCATCCAAGTGATATTCTAACGCATTATACATGGCGGTGATCATCATGTTCCTTTGAACTCAGCAAGAGAATAATGTGAGGTTGGGATCAAAAAAGCTTCAACTGAAAGAGAAAAGCAACAGCAGAAGGTGAATTCTAACCTGAAAGATACCCCAGTCTTTACAAGCTGAGTGGAATTTCTGGAGCTCAATCTCTGTGTGTTCTCCAGAGAGCAAGTGGTTCATGTCAAGAATGGGTATTGGTGCTGCATCAGTGAGGGTTTCAGAGAGCTGATAATGATCTTCACAAATGTAGCGTTGAGGAAGAGAGGGAAGGGGATTCTTAACGAGCTCTTGCACACTCAATGAAGATGGATCACAGATTATCAAGTTTGCGGGTAAAGACGATGCCATGGCTTTCTTCTCCACGCGCACTGTACAAGAAGGCACTATTGTGTGGGTGAAGCTGGGGGCGACAATATATATGTATATATGTGACCCAAAGTTCATAATATATATATATATATATATATATATAGTAGTTTACTGCTGTTCGGTTTTATCTATATAATGTAGAGGACCCATACTGGTTTTATAAACAAAATTAAAAACCAAACAAATTTAGATGGTACAGTTTATGTCAATGATCTAACTTTATTTAAATGATAATTATTTTTTCAATAAAATAAACGAATTTATTTTCTTCCTTTTTCTAATTTGCCAAGAATTTTTTTCTATAATTGGACTTCATGTTCAATTTCTTAGAACCTAATTCTAAAAAAAAATGTAGAAAAACATAAGCATTGGTCTTCACAGTTTTATCGAATTTTGCTTTAATTTCTTGTATGTTTTTTAGTATTTTTAACTCTTATAATTTTAACAAGATTGGGTGACATTTATTCAAATCCCTAACGATGTTAAATTATAGGGACTGTAGGGATTGAGAATACTGAAAAACTGCAGGAAGGAAAAATAAAATTTGATAAAATTATAAGAATCAATAACTGTATTTTTTCAACAAAAATATTGAGCAACTACTTTTTTAAAAATGTTTAAATTAAATGTTATTTTGAAAATATGCATATTTTTTGTTCGTCAAAAAATATACATATTTTTTAAAATTATATTGTTAAAAATTACGCTTTTAAAAACTCCAGAAAAATATTTTTATTTTATGATAAAGTTATAAATTTGTTTGGTTCAAATTTAAAATTTAAAATTTATTCTAAAAGGTTATTTTGAAAAAGAAGGCAAGGTCATGGCATCCACGTTTAATAATGGTAGCTAGATGCATAATTAATATGTAAACATAAAGCATAAAAGTTTAATAATGGGAGTTAGATGCATAGAATTAATAAGTGATTATAGAAGCAAAAAAAGTTTATTAATGGTAATCAGATGCATACTTAGTCAACTAGTGGGTGTGAGTCAGCATCGGGATAAATTAGCATTTGATTAGGGAGTAGATATGCACACAATAAAGGAGGAGGTAATTAATTATGATCCATGTAGTGGTCCGGCATCATCATATAATATAATAACTAATATTTTATCTTTTAAGATTGAAAGTTCAAACTTTATAAATGAAAAAAATTGTGTTGGAAGAATTATTATTAATCAGATGTAATAGTGTTTAGATTTAAACTTCTAATGCCAAATATGAGATAATTGTATCAAACAATTTTTTTTAATAAAAAGTCAATCAGATTACGAGGAAAATAAATTAGAGGTACAGATTCTCTTTCAAAGTCTTCATCAAGTAGCGAAAATAATTTAAATATAGTAAATTGGGGAAAATATAAAACAGGATTAAAAAATGATCACAAACAGCTAACTGATGGTTCGCGAAAAAATGATAATTATAATTAATTAAAGTTGGTGTGAGTATGAGAGACTAACATCATTTAAATAAGTTATTGGGGTTTGAATTTTAATCCTTGTCTATGTAATAACTTAATTGAGAGATGTCTATTTTTTGTCTACAGTACCTTGGAAGAGATATTCTCTATTGTTGATAAATCATACTCTTTATACTAAAAAAAAAAAAAATGTAACTATAGTAACTGTCTGGATGTATTATATATGGCCAGGAGACAATTAAGCATTCATTCACGGCAGATCATATCCATGATAATTAATTAACTCTTACATGTTTAGCTGAGATATTGACTTTTAAAAATTTATTATACTATATGTATGTATGTACGTAAATATAACAGCAAGCGGTGCCTTGTATTAATTCAAGTTCAATGAACACTTGCAAATGACAAGTCAATTATTATGTATTTAAACTATGATAGTCGTCGCAAGAGAATAAAAATTTGTTTGCCGAATAGTTATATATCAGTCTCTTGAATATGTCCAAATCTCTCACATAATGCTTGTTCTTTTCAGCAAGTTACTTGTGGAATAAGGAGTATTATATTTTTCTCCTAGTATCTTTCATAACCTAAACGTGCTTAAAAGCTTATTTGTTTGTTTTAAAATGCCTAGCTGGCCCTCAGAAAACTTGAGAGGGAAAGAGTGGCAGAATATGACATAATTAATCTCCATTATTTGTCACACAATTTCGCCCTTTATCAATAATTGTGTGGGGTTTTATGTCCAATGCACGTTAAAAATGAAAACAAAGTTGTACGCTTTTATTTTATTTTCATTGGAAAAATGTTTTCTATACGTTAATATGTAGTGTATGCATGTAAACACTTATACGCACGCGCGTTTAAGGGATCTAATCTTATCAGAATTTCCATAGTTTTAACTTTTTAACATTCGGCATTAACAAAAGGATTAAAGGACAAAAATATATGACAACTTTTTCTCTAAAAGTATCTAGTTTTTCTCTAAAAATATCTAGTATTCTTAAATGAATATAGGTGTAGGAGTACCCATGAATTCTTTTTTCAATGAATACGGCAATAATTCTCATCCTGTTACATTTGATTGATGTCAGTTAATGTTGATTGTTTAAAAAAAATAAAATAAAGCAAATATAAGGTGTAAAAATATTCAAAAATTTGTTCTTAAAAATTTTTTGATATCCTTAAGTCAACAATGATACATGAATACCTATTAACTTTTATAAAAGAGATCACATAGTGAAATCTAGTCTTAACACCTTAGGTTTTCAAGTTAACCTAAATACTTGAATTGTTAAATATTATTGAGTTAATATACAATTTAAACCCTGAACTATAAATTCAAGGGCAATTTAAATTTTATACTTATAATTGGTATATTTTAAATTTTAAACAATTAAACTTGAGGCAATATGACCCTTACTATTAATTCAAAAATCATGCCGTTACTTTAATGTTTTAGGGCTTGTTTGAAATTATTTTGATTTTATTGTTATAAAAATTAGTATTTTATAAAACATATTCTGAAAATAAAAAATAATAAAAATATGTATTTTTTATATTATTTTTTGTTCTTCATAGTAATAATAATAATCTTAGAATATTTAAAAAATATTTCTATTTTTTATTTTCTATAATAATATTTTATTTTATTATTTTTTAAAATATTTTTTAAAAATATATTACCCAACAGTTATTTTGTTTGTTTTTTTATTCTGAAGAACAGCAAAATATTTCTAGAGCATGTTGTCAAACAAACCCTTAATCCTGCACTTTCTCTCTCTACGTCTCCGACCTCCCTCTCTCTCCCCCACTCCTGTGTGTGTGTGTTTGTCTCCCAGCCAGCATGTAGACCTTTCTCTCTCTTCCCCATTTCGTCATTATGCATGGTTTCTACATCATTTGTACTGAATCAACACTTGCCACATCTTTGTGAATGAATTACACTCACGGAACGGCGATGTGGATGTTGCCCGTGACGTTGGCCGGGGGGGTGCTGATCAAAAGAGAGAGAAGAGGGAGAAAGGGAAAGGAGAGACAAATAGGGATAAGAGAGCGTATTATGGGCCCACCAAACCAACGTGCATTTGAAATTAATGGCAGGCCAGGATTACATCAAATTTAATTATTTAAAATTTAAAATATATTATTTATAAGTATAGAATTTAATCACTTCCCAATCTATATTTAAGGTCCATATTACCGGTTAATCCAATATTATTTTATTTTACCTTTTTAGTTAATTTCAATTTTTATTCTAAAAAAATTAAGATTTTAAATTTTAATCTAATTTTTAATTTTATTTTATTAATGATAAAAAGAATTCAAGTATTCTAACTAAATCCATTTAGGTTTGGGCTTGATTTCTTTGAGGCCACTAGAATAAATTTGAATTAAGGAAATTTTTTTGAACTCCTAAGCCTGGCCTTAAGATTTTTCAAGCTTGTTTGGGGTGGCTCATCAAAAATGACTTTAATTATTGATTTTAACCTCCCCAATTTATTAAAATAACTTAATGTTGACCATGGAGTTCTAAGAATAGAACTTAAAAGAATAGAGAAAGTTGGTTTATTTTATAAAGTTAATGGATACCCATATACCATTATTGATTTAAATGTATCAAAAGTTTCTGAAAAAAAGTTTATAAATATTTTTGCATCTTATGTTTGCTTGCTTTTTTAACAATCAATATAATGTGTGTTAATTAAATTTAATGAGATAGAGATTGTTGCACTCAATAAAATAAGTTTATGGGTTCTCATCTACCTCTGTTCACTTAAGCACAATATGATGGGTGATTTTGACAAAAAGATTTATAAATTTTTTTTATCTTTAACCCTTAAAAAACAAGTTCAAGAGTACTCATACTTGTTCACTTAAGGATAGGGTGCTCTTGGAAAAAAAAAATTATGAATATTTTTGACTTTTAATCCTTAAGAAAACATGAGCATGTGTAAGTTATCGTGACTTAATGTGTAATTGTAGGTCATAATCTTTTTTGACAAGGGGTTTTAAATCTTATATTAAATTGTGTATAAATAAATATCATTAAAGTCTATCACCAACAAAAATGGGGTGAGCAGATTGGAAACGGTCAGGCTCTCACGGTGGTAGAGCCTTAACCTGAAATCAAGGATGCGAGATAATTTAATTTAAAAATTAATAATTTTTTTAAAAAAATAATAAATACACTAGCATTAGAATTATAATAGGAATAACACAAGTAAGGCAATCATCATGTTGCTTTTTAAAAAAATTATATTAAATACATTACTATGATCTTCATATTTTATCTCGATCATTAAAAAATTACATATATAATAAACTTTTAAGTCCAAATATGAAATATTAAAAGTAGAGGTGTAATGTTATAAAATTTACTTACCATACTTGTAATTTTTCCCAAAATAACGGGTTGCACTTACCAACGCTCACTATTAACGTGACAAACAAATTTTGAATAATCTTTACTAAAAAAAATACCAGCTTACACATTTATAGTACCATGTCATGTCTTACAAAAATATAAGAGAACAATGTTAAATTTTTATAAACACTTGAACTCACTCTTAGCAACTGAGTTAGCTTGAAGTGACTTTTCAGGATATTTAA